AAAAGAGGTATGGAAAATTACAGAGTTTTTGCGTGGCATTTTTATCGGAATCAAAAAGGGGAGCTCCACATTTTTAAAAAAATGTATGAAGAAGAGGCAAAAAAGGGCCCCTGGTGGGGGGGGGGGGGGGGGGGGGGGGATAATTTCTCACAATTTTGCAATAATATATAAGCTTATCTGATATCTAATTCACTCAATAAATTATAATTCACTTGTACTTAAATGAAAGAGACGTAGGCAAAATAATTTGCACCAACCAAGATAACGAATAACGCTGGAGCAATAAACGTCCAAATCAATCCACTCTTGATATCCAGCCAACAAGCTGCCTTGCTACCGTAACCATTTGTTTGAGTGACAGCCAGTGAAATGCTAACTATAATGGCTGGGAAACCTACAAACAATTAAAGAAAATTAGTTCCCCAGAAAAGACTTTTAAAATAATTGAACGTAATACTAATAATAGTAATAGTGACAATAATAAAAATGATGATGATAACCATCACGATCACGATAACGATAACGATGATGACAATGATAATGAAAGCAAAGATAATGATGCTAGCGGTAGCGATCGATAACGATAACGATAGAGTAGACCTCTCAGGACCTCTCAGAAAACACAGGCTTTCTTCACTTTCTTCAGCGGGTTCAAAAGACCACGTCTGTTGGTTGCGATTGGTTAATTTCGATCCACCGTTTACTTCGTTCCATTGCAATTATGATTGACTACTAATTTTTTGAGGAATGTATTGTTATTTTCCTGCAATTCGATTGGTCAACTTTGTTAGCGTGGCCCCGGTTAGAGTGGTCGCAACATGTCGCACTCTAAATATCAGCGTCGAAAATGAGTAATGAGTTTTGTTTTGTTTGTTTTTGTTTTTTGTTTGTTTGTTTGTTTGTTTGTTTTTTTGCTATTGCCCTGAAAGTACCTTTTAAGGTACTAAAGGGACTTTTAAAAAACAAAAGCACCTCCTGATGAAAGTTTTTTTCGTCGATGGAAAGTGTAAAATTTTGTCAAGTGTCTGCAAACGAAATAGAGTGTCGAATTTCATGGAAAGTGTGGAAATTTGAATTTGAAATTTCATGGAAAGTGTCTGCAAACGAAACAAAAGCTGATGCTGGCAAATTTCGGCACTGAAACACATACTACCAACTCCGCCATATGGCCAGTAACTTAATCATGCGCACAGCCTTATTACCCAGGCAGTGGCAGCCATTGACAGATGTTGGCCCTTTTGAGTCTTCGGCAGGAAAATCGATATTCTTATTTTTTGTTGAAAATAAGGCCTTTGGCGAGAAATTTACATGATCAGGTTTCGTATCTACCTAAGAACTAACAATGAACCAAAAAAAAAATGAAAGACATTGATTTTAAAACTCTTGCCAGAAATTCAAGATTTTGTTCGATATTTCCTGACCGTCGCTCTTGAAAAGTGTAGTTAAATAGACTGGCTAAATCCTACAACTTCTATTGTTTAATTCAGCAACGGCTTATAGTAGAAGGCGGCCTTGGAGCAAACCTACCCCACCCAAAAAGATAAAAGGACTTCATTTTCTCCTCAATGGCAAGACCATATTCCAGCGGTTTGACGACCTTTAGGTAAAGCGATATACCCTCACAGAGCATCCACGAAAATAAAGCCAGCAAGAAGTACTGCAATAACGCCTCTACCACAGGACAACCAACCTAGGAGTCATTAAACAATACGTACGGCTTTGTTTAAGACGAGGAATAAATATATCAATAATTTGCCATAGCTCTTACAACATTCATTGGGCGGCTGTTGACTTAGCGTCTTTATTTATTTATTTACTTGCTCATTTGTATGTGTGTGTGTGTGTTTGTGTGTTTTTTTTTTTAGCTGTTTAGGGGAGAATATTACCCTCTGTTGTTACTGCGAACTATCTTCTTGATCTGTGCTACATTTTATATCGATGTATGAATGTTGTGGTTTAATTTTAGCCTTGGTTTAAATGTTATTTTCCTTTGTTTCAAACTCATTATCATACATTAGTATAACCCAAAACAAAGGAAAATAAAATTCAACCCAAGGATAAAATTGAACTACAACCCATATATTAAACGATTTGAATGCAACACCTAGCACGCACCTTACTACCTCGTGCCAATCCCTCAAATATTACAAGCACGCAAGTGATTGCAATTGCAGCACATAAGTTAATGAGCACTTTAACCCCTGCTTTGAGTGGTCTGGAAAAGAGACTCAACACAATGATGGTAATAACCACAGCTACCAACGAAATGGAACAGCCAACGGTAGAAATGATTTCCAGTGCTTCCTTGTGGCTTTCTTTTGTCTGTAATATGTATCAAAACAATATCTCTTAGTTAATTATCTGCATGTCGCTGGCAGCATTTTTAATCCCAAAAGCTAAAACCCAGATTTTCTACAGGGAAAGGGGAAGAGGGCAGGTCGTGCCCTCAATGATTTGGTTATTCCGAGAGCAATCTCTGTTTACGCTTCACTCAAATGTACAATTTTTCAACCGGTTAAATTGATCTGCAAGACTGACGGGGAATTCAAATTCCAGATTATTGTTTCTTTTCAATAGCTAAAAAGGGATCACGAGCTAACTGGTGCATAAAAGACTGGAGATTTTCCCCGGTTTCTGTAAGATGAGCCACCTAGAAGTATTGCGTATTGATATCGCCGTGTGGGTTCGACAATTTGGTGTCAGTGGATAGCTTCAGATTGCTTCTATTTGCAAACCTACATTTTCTGCTAACATAGCCAAAATAAAAATAAATAAAAAATAAAAATAAAAAATAAAAAAATAGAAAATAAAATTGCGTTCCTCTGGTAATATCTTCTTGTTACACCGAAATATAATCTTAAATCATACGGGCAAAGGACCTTTTCACTGAGTGTATTCAAATCTAAGTTGACGAAATTTCTTATTGAGCGTAGTTTTATTAACGAAATTTTTATTCGACTGATTATTTAACATATATTATTATATTTCTCCTCCTTGGCTAGTCCATTGAGGAGTTCCCCAGGAGTGTGTCGTCGGTACCCATTTTTTAGTACATAACCACCACGCGCAAAATCACATATGAATTCAAAATAACATACACATGAAAAGATCACCGTTGCTAAGGCTACAAGATAAATCACACTTTTTTGGTATTTCATTGGCGTTTATATAATAAATAGAACATTAGTTACATAGTCGCTTGGAGATACGATATTTCTCTTCTCGTTTTCAAAAAGGTTAACTCGAATATTTTTCAACACTCGGAAGAGAAATTTGGTATCTCCGTTAGGCCATGTGATGTCATCTACATATTATATATATACGTGGTTGTCATTAACTTACGGGTGGGCCGAATGGATCCATGAGTGCAGCAAAGACTGTCAGGTGATCACACTCGCAAGTTGTCATTGCGGCGTCCGACTTACTGGGCACACGTCTACAGCCAGTGGAGTTCCAAATCGAAGACTCTTCTGGTCGCCAAAATACACAGTTTCCTTGTGGTGGCATGTAAGAGTTTACCTTCAAGTGAAGGGAAGACCACATCACATCATCATCATCATCATCATCATCATCATCATCATCATTATTCATTATCATCATCATAAACAAGCGTTAAGGAAATGCATAGATTACTCAGATCTCAGAAGCAGCGCGTACCTTTGTGTTGCGTAGTACGATTTTAACTGGTTTGTTGAAAACGTCTGGAGGTCTGGGTTTTACGGTGGCAGATATAACCGAAGTGTTAGGAGACAAGTGGCGGCCACTGTTGTTCTGATTTGTTTTTGCAGCTGGGAGCGACAGAACGTTTTGTAACGTCAAAAAGATAATGGTTACCACGAACGAATCTTGTGATGAACTGAATGCTTGCGAAGGCAAATAGATAGAGCTTTGGTTATAACTGATCTTCAAACCCTGGAAGTCGAACGCAGATGTTAGTAAACTCAGGATTAAAAGATAATTAGTAAGAATCATATGTTATGCAACTCAGCGTTTTTTGGACTAAGTTGCCTAATAATTTCTTTCTTGCTTTCCATCAAAAATCCAGTATGGCAACGCCTAAACTAATTTCCCAATTGAATGCCATGGCACGTCATATTTCATTGGTCACATTCGACTAGTATATATTCAACTTTTTGCTCATTTAAATACAATATGGATATAAATTTATTTGCAGATCCGAGAGGTCATTTAATAGATCATAATTGTCTTTCCCAAATATTTATTATAACTACATCAGATTATAATTGTCTTCCCCAAATATTTTTTATAACTACAAGACCAACGCGATAAAATGGGTGGAGAGCTAAGAAGCTAAGAGACCTTTAAGTGAGAATAAATGGAAAAATGTTATATCATAATACTAAAATCGCTTTCCAAGCTCCTTGAATTTTGTTTGTTAAACGTGACAAAGCTACTGATTTTCTTGCAATTAACGAAGTCCTCCTATGAAAAAGCCGCGCCCCCTGCCTGATCCGAGTGCCTCCAACGCGATTCGAAATCGCTGAAAGATAGCTCTCACAAAACGATACAAAAAGAGTTCCTGATGAGCTAAGCCTTTAAATATATGCGACCTAAAGAAGCAAAGCGTACATTATTATCATACCGGACTGTCCTTTTTTACGCGGTCAATTCGTATCAGCAGGTTTTTGGTTCGTGCAACGATTAGCTTTGTCGATAAATGTAGCGTGGCGGCAACAGCTAGCCCGTACCTATCCATCGCTTTTACCAAGCTCCTACTTCTATCTTTACCAGCCTGTAAGTGAAATTAAACATATTGGAGCGTTTAAATCAAATGCAAGCCATCTCTTAAACTCAAGCTCTACTCTGTGAAACAACCTTAAATTTAACCGAAATGCAAATTTCATTTTTTGTAGTCACGATGTCTTGTATTCCTATCTTTCCTGCGTGCCCTCCATTTTAGTAAGCCCATACATAGCCAAGCAAAGTTGAGGCTTGCTTGGGCAAATTTAAAAAAATCATTGTATGTTGTCACCAACTCCTTGTGCTGGTACCTTTGCTCTGACAGCAATGCAGAATGGAGGGGTTGAGAGTTAGATTAATAAACAAGCGTCGACTGAAATCCGCCCCTGTATAGATATCGAGAAGCTCTGTACAGAACGAGTTTCAAATGTTTTGGTTGAAATATGGTTAACGTGGGGAATCGCTATAATTAATTCCAGAATTTCTGAACTCCAAAGCGTATGACGATGACGAAAACCACTTACACCGGTCAAGTCAACAAGTTAACAAGTCAGCGGATAGTGGCTCTCGTTTCAAATACTTCAATTAAGTTCTAACGTTGCCGAGAAATCAGTTAAATGAAAATGCCAAGTCTTTGTCATACTTACTTTCTTCAGCTCTTTCCAAGTCTTGCTGTTCCTTGTTTCCAACAAATTACTGGCCACGAGTGCAAAGTTTTTAAAGTCATCTCGTGAAGTCACGTTTTTGTTATCAATGGATATTTCAACGAGTATGTCCACCGCTATAACTAGATCCCCTCCATAGATCTGAAGAGGCCTGCTAGGATTATCTTGAATGGACTGAGTAGCAATTGAGAGCTCCCAAAGAACATCTTGTGCAGTCACGTTTGACTCAAGACCTGCTACGATAGCTTTCATCTTAATCAAGCAGAATAATAAAAGAAAAACAGAAACAAATGACCCATTGTAAAACGAGGATTTAGCAAGGAGATGAGAGACGAAAGAAATAGCGATATTAGATATTAAAGTATTATTTTGGATATTGAATGTACGCGTTTTAGCTTACAATGACCATTTGTGATTTGTCAACTTGATTTGAGTAGTGGCTATATTCCAAGTAGCCTCCAACGCAGGCGTTTTAAGGGGAGCTCGTTTTTCATCCCTCCCCACAAAAGCCTGCTCAACCGAAAACAACATTCCTTTCCCACTGTTTTGTTTGCGTGGTAAGTGACCAATCAACAGTTGTGAAATAAAGTGTTGGCAGGCTAATCACGACTAAAACGTGACCCTAGAGTTACCGTTTTCCTTCTTTTCTTTCGTTCGCTAAGGTTCTGCAGTCTTTCATGCAGATCGAGTAATTATCAGATTACCCTGCAGTCAAGGTCAACTTTCCAAAATTTGGAAAGTACAATGTGATTGGCTAAGCTTGGGAAAGGAATGTTGTCTTCGACTGAGCAGGCGTTTGTGGGGAGGGATGAAAAACGAGCTCCCCTAAAAGCACCTGTGTGGGAGGCTATATTCCAAGGCTATGAGTGGAGACACCATGTTACTAGAAGGCCAGAATGGCGACCGGAAACTATCAGAACATTTATCATTGAGTTTTGCTACGGAAGCGTGAATTTATCACTCGAGGAGCTCAGAAACTCTAGTACAAACAATGTACAGATTTAAACTTTTTAGACACGCGTGACAGCTTTCTCGGCCCTCACTTAAATGCTACCTAAAGCGACAGCTTAGAAATTCAAAAGTAAGAAGAACTCTTTGGAACTGAAAATTCGTAAAACATATAAGTATTCACCTGCAGGCTTTAATACCCCATAAAAGTAAATGCTCTGACGAAACGATAATTTTTAATTCTTTATTAGTTTAAACGCCAATCGAGGTTTAACATACTTTAAATGTACAAATCTTAGTAAACTCATGCTCATTGATAATTTCACTTACTGCATCCGCCAACTTGATAAATGTATCAGAGCTGCAACCTGTAAAGTTTGCGTTCAACCACATTCCTTTGTTAGTGCANGCAGTCACGTTTGACTCAAGACCTGCTACGATAGCTTTCATCTTAATCAAGCAGAATAATAAAAGAAAAACAGAAACAAATGACCCATTGTAAAACGAGGATTTAGCAAGGAGATGAGAGACGAAAGAAATAGCGATAAGATATTAAAGTATTATTTTGGATATTGAATGTACGCGTTTTAGCTTACAATGACCATTTGTGATTTGTCAACTTGATTTGAGTAGTGGCTATATTCCAAGTAGCCTCCAACGCAGGCGTTTTAAGGGGAGCTCGTTTTTCATCCCTCCCCACAAAAGCCTGCTCAACCGAAAACAACATTCCTTTCCCACTGTTTTGTTTGCGTGGTAAGTGACCAATCAACAGTTGTGAAATAAAGTGTTGACAGGCTAATCACGACTAAAACGTGACCCTAGAGTTACCGTTTTCCTTCTTTTCTTTCGTTCGCTAAGGTTATGCAGTCTTTCATGCAGATCGAGTAATTATCAGATTACCCTGAAGTCAAGGTCAACTTTCCAGAATTTGGAAAGTACAATGTGATTGGCTAAGCTTGGGAAAGGAATGTTGTCTTCGGCTGAGCAGGCGTTTGTGGGGAGGGATGAAAAACGAGCTCCCCTAAAAGCACCTGCGTGGGAGGCTATATTCCAAGGCTATGAGTGGAGACACCATGTTACTAGAAGGCCAGAATGGCGACCGGAAACTATCAGAACATTTATCATTGAGTTTTGCTACGGAAGCGTGAATTTATCACTCGAGGAGCTCAGAAACTCTAGTACAAACAATGTACAGATTTAAACTTTTTAGACACGCGTGACAGCTTTCTCGGCCCTCACTTAAATGCTACCTAAAGCGACAGCTTAGAAATTCAAAAGTAAGAAGAACTCTTTGGAACTGAAAATTCGTAAAACATATAAGTATTCACCTGCAGGCTTTAATACCCCATAAAAGTAAATGCTCTGACGAAACGATAATTTTTAATTCTTTATTAGTTTAAACGCCAATCGAGGTTTAACATACTTTAAATGTACAAATCTTAGTAAACTCATGCTCATTGATAATTTCACTTACTGCATCCGCCAACTTGATAAATGTATCAGAGCTGCAACCTGTAAAGTTTGCGTTCAACCACATTCCTTTGTTAGTGCAGATTCGTGTTGCGGTTCCTTCGGAGAAGTAAAAACGTTATTTTGTTTCGAAACAAAAGCGTATTTAGATGAAGGGGTTTTCGTAGCATTGCAAACATTCAGGTTAAATCTTGGAAGGAAAAGACAAAAAAATCCTTCCTCTCTCCCCCACCCCCCTTAATTAAGGATGTAAAGGAGGCGCGTTTTCGACTTCGCGCAGTCTGCCCTCCGAGGTCTTGTCCGGAGGCGCTAACCACTGAGCTACAGGAGGCTTTATGGGGAGTGGGTCGAAATTTAATTCTACTTGTAAGATGTAGATTACAAGGAGGCGTTCAAACACGAATTGATTTACGTCTTGGTAAACTGACTGGCTAAACATATAACATACCACGGGCCCCATCTGGACAAGGTTTGATATTCCCGCCTCCTCCAGCTGTAGCTGACCACTCCACTCCACCTGAAATTTCTCTCGGGCATTTTATGCCTTCAGAAAAAAATAAGAAAACAGAGAACTATATTTCAGGGTTTCAAACACCCAATGAAAAGTGAGACGAGACGCAAATCAATGCTTAATAAATCCGGTGGTCATGGGGTTCAATTCCAAATGCAAATTTATTCAATTTTACGTTTCTCCTGGTCGATTTTGGTAAAGTGTTGTGTTCATCTGCGAACGAGCTTCAGCAAAACTCAAATGCCTGTTCAAGAGAAGAGTATATTCCACAAATATTGACTGTTTTGTTAGAGATTCATCGCGTTTACATTTGACCTTTGTGGCCTTTTGTCTTTTATCTGTCATTCGTAAACAATAGCTAAAACAATGTAACTACTCTTTCGACCAATCAGGGCTTCTGACCGAATTCCAGACATATTTTACGTCATCAGTATGGAATTTCTGTCGCTGAGTCGCAGACGTTCCCCCGCGCGAAACGTCCCCAGCGGCGAAGAGCGTGGAGAAACGGATGTTTTCGCAGGCTAAAACTTTGCCACAACCGAGGCAACAAAGGGAGGTACAAGTTCCCTTAAGCGATTTCTGAAAAAATAAATCCTAGTACCGAAAAAATACAAAGGCAGGTAAAAAACGTAATGGCGTCATTATGTTGCCATGGTAACTCTGATGTCAATAAAACATGGATCATAACAAATTTTTATCTTTATACAGTGCAACTGTGGCAACTTTTTGGCGTTATCTTTGTTAATGCCGACGCGGTAAACGCTCAAAGTGAGGAGGTATAGTCCCTGAAAAATCCAGTCGAGCCACCTTAAATACGGAACTTAAGAACCACGACGACGACCGGAAGTAAGTTACAGTGTACTGCGCAAGCGCGACCAGTAAATTTCGTCGTCGTGGTGTCGTCGACGACGCCAAACAAAGTACAATCACGTCGTCCTGCAATCCACAAGCTTCGGCAGATATAAATCCACTGTTTTAACCGATTTTTGAAGTCCTTATCATTTTCTTATCCTCGTAAATTCAGGTATCGTTCCTTTTTTCTCCTAACAAGCGATGTTGATTAAAAATTCGACTAATGAATGGTTTTTACTTCGAGGAATGACAACAGCTGTGGAGGCCGAGCGAGCGAACTCGAGAGTAATAAATTTATTTGTACGTATTTAGGTAAGGCAAATCATTTATCTTTAATATAGAGGAAATAAACTTTATATGGAAAACAGCTATCACATCAGAATGTCTCTTTTTCCACTTGAAATTTAAACTCTGACTCTGACAGACACTCGGTCATCTCATTAGGTTGAAAGTTGAATGATGTTCGTACTTAAAGCACGTGCATTTTCCACCCGAAAAGGTCAGACGACACAAAAAATTCTTCATCGTCAATGAAATTAGACGTACGGCTTATAAAATAAGATCTTGCATTGTTTTAAAAGACGCCATTGCGAAAAACTTTGCTGCGAACGAACATCACAGTTTTACATTTGTGTTTACATTCAGTGTCGTCGTCGTCGACCTCCCGCCGAAACTGACGTTCTCGTTCTAGTCTTTTCCCAGTCAGCAGACGTCGTTGTCGTGATCTTCGTCGTGGTTCTTATGACGTCACAGTGACATGACTGCTATTACTAAAGATTATTAATGTGCCGGCGAGCCCTCATAATTTTACCAGAAGCCTTACTAATTATTAAGTATTTTGCGCTTTGTGGCTACTTTTATGAAAAATTGATGAAATTTGGGTTCTGCCAATACGCATTCAATAATATGGCGTCATAATGGCCTCACATTACCTCATTGTGTCAATAAAATCATACCTTGATTTTGGAAATATTGGGTACATTATTCTGTGCAATTTTGGGGCCGTATCAAAAAGAAAGTGCAAGAAACTGAGAAAAAATGCCTTTTGGTAGCAATTTTTTTCCATTTCGTAGCCATAGTATTACATTTAAGTCATCAAATGTTTCCAAAATTTGTCTAAAGAACTAACGAAGAGCTTTGAAAGGGAAGAGGCTCTAGTTAAAGATAAGTTCACAAAAATAAATAAGTAAATAAATAAATAAACAGATAGATAAATAACTAAATAAACAAACTGTACTTGGGTCAAGCTGTTCAGGTGAAGGCGGCAAAATGATTAGATCTGCTAATTCGCTTCTGAATGTGTGGTCTCGATATTTCACCTCACAGATGAATTGCCTTACTTGAATCTTCCTTCCCTCAGGAATTTGTAGGTTAGTTATCGAGAAGCTCACTTGATGGTAGGAAGACAAAATACTATTATCAAGGAATTTTTGTTGGTGTTTGTCCAACGTGGATGACTCGCTGTTAACTTCTGTGACTTCTACTAAAGATACGTTAGTTACACTGCTGGATCCACTGCTCACATTACAGATAAAAATAGCTTGTTCCCCTACAAAAAAAAAACAAGGTAAATAGAACAAAGAACTTGTGAGAATCCCTAGCCCTCGACATGACTCTGGAGTAACCTGTAGCCATTAACGAGTTGACTTCTTTGATCTAACATCGACATTAATAACCTATCTTGAGCAAGATAAAACAGACCTAACTAAACCAAATGGCTTTTGGATTTTTCATAACTTGTCTCCTAACATTTTGTGCTTACAAACTTTTATAATGACATTGGATATTTAATAGCAACCAGATTTGTTACTTTTATTTTAGTTTAATCTATTTAATTAAATTCTGTGTTAAATCAAAACGAGAATTACTTTTAAAATTATATTAGATTAAATGAAATCATTTTATCTCTTGCTTGCTAAACTTTGGCTCTTGCCTGGCATAATTTTGGTCCCACGTCATATGACGTCATTGATTCAAGTGATCAATAATAACGTAAACACATTGTGGCGCAACAATAGCCTTGATTGCCTTTATTTTAATGTCATTGCTTTAATATTAATATTCTCGAAAGCAAGACGGGGAAGGGAACATTTGCGATTTTCTCTTCTGTCATTAAGTAACTAAAAACACCTCCACGCAGTAATCTGGTTAAGCTTTTGCTACAGCGAGAATAGGAAACTTACCGACTCGTTTGGTCATGACTCGCGGTTTTATAAGGTGCACAGGCGGGTCTACCCAAATAGTAACTGACTCACCGATGTTTTGTTGCCCTGCGCTAAAAGTAAAGATAGAAAACCATTATTACCTCCATCGATGTTAGATTGAAACTAACCTACTAAGAATTCTTGTAAATGGTTTAAATCGTTTCGGAAATCCATAGCATGAGTGGACAACATGCAATTTTTTTTTTTTCACTTTGGGAAATAGTCACTATTATACCTGAAAGTGACACAAACAATAACTAGACAAACAAACAAAAATGAAATATGTGCTGTTTTCGGCCTCTACATGCACGTCCAATCTAATTGCTTGCTTTATTATGTTATTCAGAAGTTTAGCCCAAATGCTTTGGACTCAGAAGTGACCAGACTAATAACTTTTCCTTATTGCACTGGTATCAACAGATCACTTTTTAAATACCAGTGTCCGGATCACCCTTTTTGTTTTGTTTCACTTTTTGTTTTTGTTTTTTTGTTTTTTTCGCAAATTTAAACTGTTCTTGCCAGACAACTTAGTTTACGACTGAAAATTAAACCTTTTTAAGGGTTCAGTAGCATTTCAGGTACGCAAGCCTATCAACAAAAGCGTTTTCTGAGAAAAAAAAAATCGAGCTCTTAATTGTTTAGATTCTTAAAGGCAAAACTCTTTCAAATTTGAGGTCAAAGGAACAACTTTTTCTAGCCTGACTTGCCCGAATTTCATGCATTTCCCGGGGGACGGATCGGGAGTAAAGGGCTTCAAATTATCTTCGAATTTTGGCTTCGAGAGAAACCAAATCTTGTTGACATATTTTAGGAGCTTAAAGTAGTTCATTGTCGATCAGTAGGCCCTAGGTCAAAATGCGTGTTGAATAGTGCTCATTAATAATAATAATAATAATAATAATAATAATAATAATAATTAATGCTTAAATGGCCAACCACACAATAGCTGTTTAGTCAAGAGGTTTACCTTGTATAACAATGGTATACTCCTTCATCTTTTGCAGTTGCATTCGTTATGGTCAAACGAGATTGGCGTTTATCCGTCGTAATATTTCTGCGATGGCTTAATACTATCATTTCACTCCCTTTAAACCAAGTGATATATGGGTTGATTAGCCCACCAATCACGGTACAGCTTATTTCAATAGCGCTTCCCACTTTCAGTACCGTCTTGGATGCATTCAAGTTAATGCCTTGTATTCCTGGAAAATAAATTGAATCATACAACGTCGAGGTTCAAGTTGTTGTCATTGCGGTGCATGCTTGACGATAAGCAAATTAAGGTTTCGCCATTAATCCTCTGTAAGAGATGAAAGCGATTTATCAAGTATTTAGTTTGTATCGACCTGTCCTTTAAACTAACTTCCATTTAAATTGGAAATTATGAGACACAGTGTTATCTATCAAGTTTAAAACTCGTTGTTCAAGACAACGAATAGTATTACTTTTCGTCTATTTCCACAGGTAGTAGCTTAACTCGGTAATGCTGGATGCAGGTGCTAGATTAATATATTACTAGAATAAGATTGAACGATTTATCAACTAAAAAACCTGAAATAATGATCTAATAAACGCTCCATTTACAAAGTTATATTTGTTTTAGACGCCCTCTCTGATAAACGCCCCCTGTCTAATAGACACACCCCCCCCCCACCCCCAATGAGAACAGCAAAACCATCATCCAGTTTCTTGCTTGATTAACAAAGATTTGCGAATTATTTTTCTTGTTCAAAGTTAAGTTCAAAGTAAGGATAGACTAATGATGGCAATACAATGACTCTGAGCGAGGATTCTGACATCAATGTTGAGATTTGAAATAGCGATATGGGACTCCAGACGGCCCAGGGGTATCAATTGAAATCGTTATTATGTAATCCTGTAGTACGTCACACCATCTATCTCAATTATTGATTTGCTAAAACCGTCTCGTGATACGCATGGGAAAGGGAAAACAATAGAGACCTTAAGATTGAGGTTTTTCGCAGTTCCTGCGAACCGCAAACGTCAAGAAGTCACATGGCCAGTATCTTGCCGTCAGGTTTGCTGTTTGAGGTTCAAGTTTGTACGGCTAGATCACGCTCCAGAGGTAAGTGATTTACCGCAAGATTTTTCGTACCCTAAAACATCACAATCCCATGTTTGAGAGAAAATAATCCTTTTTAGAACTCTTTCGCTAATTAAATGTCGACCTTTCTCAGCTAAAATAGAAGTGAACGAATGAATAAAAATGAAACATGGCAGCCGCAAGCTACCACCCGCGAATCTTAATTCCTAAATATGGGCAGACGGATAGCGTGAAACCGCTAACTGCAAACCGCGGATTTCCTTTTGCGGTAGATTATATGGCCAAGCTTCGGTCTTAAGGTCTCTAATGTCTGGCGGAAACTGTTTTTTTTTTCCTCTGAAATTCGACAACTGTTATGCTAATCAGAACACGCACCAGAATATAAAAGCCAAAAGTAATGATCATCTGATCGAAAAAAAACTTTATATATATATATAAAAACACCGCGAAACTTCACAGAAATTGTTTTACAACATCTTTTTATGATCTAATTATCAGCGTTTAAGTATAGCCTACCCCAAAAACGTCAACTACCGCGTCTTGATTTACCTACCGGAGACTTCGCACACGTAGTGGTAAGCAACTTCACACCTCTGGTTATTCCATTTCCATTTAAATGGGAATGACGGAGGCCAAATCATTACACAGAGCTCGTTGTCCAGGTTATTGGGTTCTCCAGATCCCCAGTTGGTGTATGTAACCTGTGTTCCGTCAACCCAAAACCAAGGTGAGGTACCGTTGTATCTGTGCATTCCTATCCAAACGCGCTCCGATATAATTCTGGGAGAGAGTGCCTCTTGTTCAGCTTTTGATTTTACCATGACAAGAGTGGATCCTAGTTCCTCACAGGCAGATTTTGCTGCTTCCCAGTTAAGATGCGAGTTAAAGATATGATAGCATGACTCGTTATTTAACTTGAACCAGTTTTTCGGACATATTCCTAAAAATTACAATGTGTAAAAATGCCACGCTTAGAGCTGGATGTCTAAGCTAATATTATTTTATGTGAAAAAAACAAACAAACAAACAAACAAACAAAAAAAACATGTTTCTTGGATTTTCTAAAGCCAAGAACTGAATAATAATAGCAATGATAATAATAATTAAAAACCTTATGTAATAATAAAAACCGACGAGTTTCCGCTCAGTTTTTCCTGTTTGACCGTATTCACAATGCTTCCTAAGTTATATGAGAAAACTCAAATGTTACGGTAAACCTTGAAAATGCGGTCGAATTATGAAAATTTGAAGATACGCAACGTATTCAGGGAGATTTAGACCTTTTTTTTTTTTTTTCCTGAACATTGCTTTTTACAATAATCTTCAAGGAAACTGCTTCTCGCCACAGTAAGGTTTTCCAAAATGGTTAGACACAAAAAAAGGCGAGCAGCTTCAATCTTCTTCTGCTTTTTCTATAACATGATGATGTAAGCATATATGGCCTGAACACAAATATTACGTAAAATAGCGCGAACCAATCCTCCTAGAAATTCTAAAAGATATCTTGATATTTTGACAAACGTTTCTTAAAATCTATAGAAAATAGTCCCTAACTATCTATCTATATTTCGTTTCAAAACAAACAATTTGAATCAACTACGTCTAAAGTTTTAGTTATGAAAACCCAACAAGGGGGAGCATTGAGGTGGCGCACAATTATGTCAGTTGTCTGGTATGTTTTCACAGACGGTCAATCCATACTATAAGTTAAACGGCCCCCCGTCAGGTAAATGCGTTAACCTATCGCTTTGACTTAAGAGATGCTATCCTTAGAGATACGATTAATCCAATGTTGATGAGAAAATGTCAAAAGGCGAATCAGCATTAGCCCATGTGCAGCAAGGATAAATAATAATGACGAACGGTGAATTTCCTTAACAGTATATCAGAGTAAGAGTTTTATTTCAGACAAAAGGTTGTCAGACAGTGTTGAAAACCGCCCGTTTAATAATAAAAATAAGTGACATACATCTCTCTTACCTTGCTGCTCCCGTCCTTGTATTTTAAAACACCGTGCAAGGAAAACAAACACCACAAAAGTGCATACTCTTCCCATAGCTAAGACACCAAGCAAACTGAACAAGCATTTAAGCCCACTGAGTTTTGTTTCAAGCACCGATCATGACCGATGTTGTCATCTCTTCCGTCCACTTGACCTTTGTACGCAAAAGCATTACGTAATAGCCCACGTTCAATATAATCAAACTCAAAATTCTAACTTGACTCCGAGAGTTTGCAAACAAAATTACATTTCTTTTTACGAATTGATTGTATCCTTATTCCCAGTGGAGACTTGAGCACAAAGAAAACCAAATATAAAAATATGACCCAAAAGCCTCGGATTCGTGTTAGAATTTTGATATCGAACGTCGGCTACGCCACAATTTTTTATACTCACTGTTTACAAATATTATATTGTTATTCAAATGTATAATTATGAAGCAAAGCTTAAAACCTTGTGTTTCTAGAACATGTGCTTCGTAATTGGCACATTAATATCAATAGGTTACGTCAGCGTTAGTATCCCTGAAAGGAAAGGAGAAATAACAGACAAACAAACAAAAAATCACTTCAAAACCACTCCAAAATCAAACTAGACGAAGTATTTTCTATCTATACTGCCTCAATGATCTAAATAAGTGAGGCTACTCAGATATTAAAGTGAACATGTTGACAAAGCAGTACTGACGTCGAAAACCGGCGCCAAGGTGGAACTTAAAGGAGCCATGTCACGAAATTTGTAAAAAATTCAAACCGTGAGTACTGCCACCACATTGAATTTAAAAACATGAAATTAACCCATTACAACGTTAAAAGAAAGTGAAAGAGCATTTACTTCAAGATTTTTAACCAAGCATAAACTTTCGGGAGTGAGGCGGAGAGATATTTTGCCCGACTTTACGAAAATAAAATTGTGACCTGAGTCCTATTCTAAGGAATGAAAGGGAAAGTATCAGTGACTAGCTGTTAGCCAACAAATCGTATTATGTCATTTGTAGTTGTGTATGCTGTCATAACAGATGTCTCTTCGATTCCATTCTAGTCAAACGGTCCCCCTAATGGCTTTGAGTTAAAGAGGTGCAGTCTCCAGAGATGCGATGAAACCAATCATGAGGCAATTTTTAAAACTGGGAGCGAATTCGCTTGAGCACAAAAACTCCATGGGCCGAAAGAAATAAAAACAAACAAACAAACAAACAAACAAACAAAAAAAGACAAAGCTAATAACTTAATAATACAATAATCAGAAAAATTAATGTTACCTCTTATCTCTCCGATAGGATACTTTTTCATTAACTGATCGTAAACTGCTGTCAGTTTATCCTATTATTCAGTTTTGGGCGACTGTTAACGGGGCTGATCTCCCAAATTTAAACATTTGAAGAAAGATCGATAAATAATCTATTTAACATTTTTTTTTACGATGAGACTCTGCTTCCTCAACTTGTTTCAGCTAAATGTATCGCATTCCATTATAAAACAAGTAAATATAAAACCAAAGTGAAGCCTGATGATAAATATCATATTTGTCGATCAGTATTTACAGTTTTATATCTGATCAAGTTGACTACGAATCTGGCAGTGTACCAGATCTCTCCTTTTTAATTGTTGTTTGTTTCTGACCTTGCTCTTCTCTGTCGCACTGAGGCAACTAAAGCCTTAGCCTGGTCTTGCATCATCACAATTTCTTCTTGATTCATCAGCATCCAAAGGAGGTTGTTCCATCTTCGCGATAACGAAGAGGCCGAGTTACCGTTCGGGAAGGGGATATCATGTTCCGCGACAATGCGATGTTCCACCAGGAATCAGAACGCGCGAAAATTGCTATCCACTGATTTGGTGAAAAATAATGTTTGCTATTGGTGAATCAAGAGAAAGTTCTCATGCGAATGTCACGGAGCCGCAAGCGCAAGTGGCTAGAAATCCTCGCTGGGGAAGATTTACCACCAAAACTCTGCAGCAACAACGCCGACTTGTAATTCAGCGCGAGCAACGAAGGAGAAGACGACAGCAAGAAACCGCGGCGCAGAGAGAACATCGCTTAGCATAGCAAAAAGCTAACTGGTTGTCAGAATTGACTAAAAGCGAACTAGTGGTCTGCAGTATTATCAATGCTTCGTTTTGATTGGTTGAGCTACTAGCGAAAAGCACTGGCTTAAAAAAACCAAAACATTATGGCGGCTGAATCGCGTTTTGCTAGCTAAAGTTGTTTTGTCTCGATATTTTTGACCAACTGGTTGGATTTTACTAAAACAATTATTCATCTCGCCCTAATGGCCTCTGAGTCAATAGCTCATGAGGCTTCAGGCCTATTGGGCTATTTACTCAGAGACCATCAGAGGTCCCCCTCTATAACTTCAAAACCGCTCATGCCACGGGCACCAAAAATTACACTTACTTAATTTAATCATCATTTCCAACTTCGGACATAACTTGATTTAGCCTGAAATTCATCCAATTACTTCGAGTCGTTATTACTCCCTCAGTAACGTCTGAATCGACCGGCCGTTAATGCCGTCCAGTGACGTCACTACATGTTGACCTTTGCTTTAATTCATGCAAAAAGTAAAAGACGATTTTCAAGTGGCAAACCGAAAAATATCGTTTGGAAATTTCTCCATGATACAGAATTGCTTTATTTTTTTTTGATCGTAATTCATGTTTAACGTTCAAACTATCAACTGCTTGCAGTACAACTCCGAACAGCTTGTAGTTCTATAATTAAACTCGGTCGCAATCACGCAATGAAATAAACACACACACGGAACACTAAGTTCAAAAACACAATGATTTGCTTTAATTGAAAAGAAGCTATTTGGTCCTTAACGATGATAAAAAAACAAGGAAACAAGAAAGAAGAGCTAACAGAATCATTACACTTGACGGTGAAAATAGCAAGAAGGTCGAACATTGATCTCAGAAAACTTCGCGTAAACAAAATCACCGGCCGCCGAAACCACAAAGCGGCGCTTTAGATGAAAAACCTACCGACTCTCCGCAATGATTCTTCATTCGCAGTTCAATTTAGCATTTCAGTTTCGAATACAAGGGCAATTTTGCTGTTTAAGATAAAGATTAAGCTTATCTAAATGTTTGAACTACACGAAAGAATGCAAGGGATGCGATCCGCTGAATATCGTGCTGCTATCCTGCTAAAGTTTTTCACAATTATGCATAATTATGCGAATGTTTAGACAATCAACCGATCAAAATCACTACCCGCTTTTTGGGTAGTGAGTGACGTCACTGGACGACATTAACGGCCGGTCGATTCAGACGTTACTGAGGGAGTAATAACGACTCGAAGTAATCGGATGAATTCAGGCTAAACTTGATTGACACTTTGACGTAATCTGGCGTCATAATAACGTCATATTGTTTAAATCATTAGCAAAATCCCAATTTTCCTTAAAGTAGACATCAAGCAAAAAATACTTAAATAGTAAGGTGTCTGATAAAATCAAGAAGTTGGCTGAGACATAAATAATCTTTAGCAATAGCAGTGATGTCATCATGAAGTCATTTATTTCTAAAAAAAAAAAAAAAGAATTAGAAGAATCAGCCACCTTGGATCTGCCATTTCGAATTATTTAATAAATGTCCCATTTTACTTAATAATAGTGATTTATAATATTTATAATATATTTTATAATTAATAATAGTGATTTCATGATATCGTCATTTATTAGTACGATTTAGGAACTGGAAGCATCCGCTATCTTGGATCCACCATTATTAAAAGGTATTCCATGATACTTAAATTCCATATAAATCGAGAAATGTTTAAAAGTAAACTTGATGTGAGTATAAAAGGAATCGCTTAGGAAGCAAAAAAAATCTGCATAATGTGCAATTCCGATTTTAATTGACAATTAAACACAGCATAATCATTTTCATGCATTTGGTCATATTAAGTCATGTTTTTTTTTGTCTCAAACTGGTCAATAAAAAGACCTGGATTTCCTCAAAAGTGAAAACAACCTTGATAGATTAAGACTCCGCTGAGTGTAATATAATAATTCTATCAGTAAAATGTAATTAAAACCTATCTTTAAGAACAAAAATGCAAATATTGGAAAAACAAAACAAAACAAAAAAATAACAAAAACAAACAAACAAACAAAAAAGTCAATGTTACACATCCACGAATTAAAATGTTTCGAGAAAATTTTTTGGAAAAGTAGCTAGGTTCGGGGTCATAGCTCAAACGGTTTTAAAGTTATTCAAATTTGTCGCAAGGGGAAGCCGCTAGGGTCTGAACAGGACCAATTAACCAGATAAAATATTACAATTTCAACTGCGAAGTATAAATTAAGGGATGAAAACTGTGCACTTGTTTTTCCACGCTGTTTATTTATTTCGTTTTTTTTTTTCGTCCATTGCATAGCTTAAGTTAGCATTTTTTATGCTTGATTGTTTAACTGGAACAGCTGCTGATTACTCCTGTTATCTGCTATCTAGTTTCACCCCCATTAAACTGCCTAGGTCAAAACGACAGCAATAATATTGCAAAAAATGTACAAATGCGGCAAAATATTAACTTAACGTATTTTTGACTACAGTATGCGTTACCAAACTTTCTGCCAAAAAATCGCACAGAACTGCAAAATATTTTCATACGCAATTCTATCGCATAACGGAGAGGCTCAAAAAACAGTCTATTCATTTGAGTTTGACAACAAACTTCTTCTTAGGGATTCATCTTCGGTTTTGAGCGATTCGTCTTCTCGATCTTTTAAAGTATTTAACTCAACGTTGTCTCTTCTGATAGGTAGCACTTCACATTCATGTTCATTACATTTTGATCGTTTTCTTGTAACTGCAATGAAAGAAATATGTTGTGTTACAATTTAAAAAAAATCGAAAACAATTATAGATGTATAAAAAATAAAACGGTAAAAAGTACGTTTGAAGCAGATCATGCGACAAAATATTAGAAATCTCTGAACTCCCATACATAGTCAGACACTTGAGTTTCCACTTGAGTCACCCATTTTTAAATAAGTTGTTTGTTTTGTGAAGCTTCCGTTTTATGTCTGCCATCATAGCGGTGAACTGATTTTCTCGATAACAGTCACTCGCCCATGGGTAGAAATCGCCAAGGACTGGGCGCTTGTTTATTTCATTTCACTTCGTCGTGAGGACGCCAGTCTGGAAACAATGATGTTTTTGAGGGACTGCGGGTAGTCTTCATATACGATGGGTTGGTAAAGAAAAAAAATGTTTTATTACCATATTAAAATAACTTGTAGATCTGCGTTAGATCGATCTGCGTTCATCTAAATTCCCTTTTTTTAGGCCTGCGTGCAGACTTCTTTGTCTTCACGTAGATAAGCGACGTTTTACCGTTTTACGTTTCATAAAAGGATATAAGAGACGCAGAAGGTCTGCAAGCAGAGTAAAATACCATGGCTTTCCTAGATCGTAGACTCCTTACCAGTTACTACAGACAATTTCAACGCCATGGCATAGCCAAAACCCGAGGAACGGGCTCTTCTAATCGCCCCCGCCCCCGCCCCCGCCCCCGCCCCCGCCCCCGCCACCGCCCCAACCCCTCCCCGTGAAACACAGTATAAGTCTTTTAATGGTTAAAATAATAACAAACAAGTCAGCCTATAATAACCCTTAAATGATTGAAGCAAGATTTTATACAGACGTACAATTGGTCAAAAGAGGTCCACCTTTCTCTTTTACTTTCAAGCTGTGATTTAATTTGCCTCGCTTGAACCGATACATCATCCTTTTTTTGATAGCTTGTTTCATCTGGAAAAAAAAAAAAAAATCAGTAACAATAACAATAACAAATGTGTCTGCAATGTGTAGAATGTGCGGAGAAAGTGATTAAACAATTAGATAGCTACATTGTATTGGAATGCAAAAATACTTGGTCGATAGCAATATACTTTTCATGAAACGAATCAAACTCTAATTTGGATGGAAAATGAAGAAGTAAACTCAGGATCTGCATATGATCATATTAACTCGTTTTTTTTTTTTTTTTTTTTTTTTTTTTTTTTTCTCATACCAGTAACTAAAAAGCCTGGATTTCATCAACAGTGACGATAAATTGGATGAAATTATGTGAATTTAAGTGTAATAATTCCATTGGTCAAAATAGAATTAATTCTATTTTCAAGAAAAAAAATGCAAATTTTGAAAAACATGGCTATCAAAACTTGGTTGCTATTTGGTAACGTCAATGTTTTGACGAATACGTCACCAGGTGGTCATGATGACCTCAATATATTCCCAGATAATTCACAGCTTGAACGGTTTTGAAGTTATTCAACTTTTTCTCGAGGGGGGCTCCAAAAGCCTTCCCGGTCTGAATAGGATTAACTCACTAAGTTTGGATCGTCAAATGAAAAGGTTCCACGTTTGGCCTAGGCCTTTGACAGAGAGCTCACAGGCGGTGACTTGATGTTTTACAACCCTTATTACGTAAGATATTGACTCTAAAAGCCGAAGACAACTTTCAAGTCCATCAGCTTAGTGTAACACGTCCTTTTAGCTATATGTATAGGTAATCACATGATTTCGAGTGCAATTTGGAATAAATAAGCACGAGGAAATTTTTCAAAGACCAACAAGCAGCACTTTGTGGTCTATGAAAAATTTACAAGTGCTTTTTTATTCCAAATTGCACGAGAAAAATCGTGATAATAATATACACGAAAAACATAACTACAGCAACAAATTTTGACAGCGCGCGCGTTTTTAGTTCATTCAACTGATTGGCTGAAACAGACTGTTACCTTTATCAAATTCAAACTTTTTCCAGACCAACGCAAGGATTGATTTTATATGGTCACCAGCCTGTTAAAGATAACTCGGTTTACAATAATCAGTAAAAGTAGGTGTTTTTCAATTCATCCTCCATTATGAGAGCTCGACGTTTACAAGAAGCGTTTACAAGTTCTAAAATTAAGAGAACGCTTCGAGGAGCCAAAGATGGAAGACACTTGCTAAGGTTTTTTGACGACTGTTTATCATTGTCTGTTCCTGAGACCCCATCATAGCTGGATTCATGGATAAATTTCTGAGATTTATAACCCAAAAATGAAGGAGGCAATTTGTTTTCTTCCCACGCTGCCATCGATGGGTGAGTGGAGCCACAATTGTTGTGATGTCGGAAACTGCCAGTGTTTAAATGTAATATTTGCTTTTTCTCAGTGCTAGGGTCTTCATTATCTCACTTAGTCTACTGCAAGAGTCATCGTAGCTCTTCTTCGTCGGCTTCATCGTGGTCGTTAAGGAAATTTGTACCTCCGTGGCCTGTGACATTGGTGATATGTTCTGAACTTACAATCTTTGCTTTAAAGCTAGTACCAGCTACGGATACTTTCATTACGTTACTTATGGTATTTTCGCCCTTTGGTTTAGTTTGGACCAGATGTTTGAATTTTTGGTTTCTTTTGCTGCTGAGGTAGAAAAAAACAGACCATCGCATGGATGTTTTAATAGAGGTCTTCGCTCCACAAAAGACTCAAAGAGAGCAACCGGACACCTTTCTCCCCCAACAAATAACGTACGTGACTTGAAATCCCTGTTGTATATCATGGAAAACTTGTATCCTTGTTCATTTAAACTGCTGAAAAGTGTAGCTGTCATGGTTTGCGTGTTGTTGCAACCGTTGTTCTTTATTTTTTTACTTTAGCGTAGTCTGTTATAAGTAGCTTGTTTGTCGTGAAAACAGCTCTAATCTGATTGGTTCTTGGTGGTTTATTTTGTGTTTTCAGCCAATCAGAAACCATATTTGCAATTTGCACTCGTGTTACAAGTTTTTTGCTCGTGTTACAGAAGAACTGCACTCCTTTCTCAGCCAATCAGAATTGAGTAATATTTTCGTGTATATTATTAATCGTAATAACATGGCACTTTAAGATTAGTACCTACCTTGCCGTTAAGGGCACAATGAAAAATAAAGATCATCAGCCCCTGAAGAGAATTGAAGATGGCGAATATGTACTTGAACGCGATGGTATAAGAACTAAAGCTAAGAATTCCAAACACCCAGGTGATTCCGACCAAAGGAAGAATGGCCATGGAGACTCTTACTCCAGCCTTTAATTTTGTGATCTGCGTTTTCTCCTCTACTTTTCCCTTCACCGGTTTCATTATCTTACGCATAACCAGGTATAAAACAACACAATTTATCTGTCAAACAAAACAGAAGGCGGTTTGATTAGTTTGGTCTCTTTAAACATCTTTTTTTTTTTTCGTAAAAAGAAAATGTATGTAATTAAAGCCTCATATAGGTGGTACATTTGGAAATGCAACAATATATGAAATTCTGAATCATTAATTACTAGTATAAAGTCACTTGATTAGTGATTAATAACATTGTTATTGTAGTACACCATAGATAATATCTTTTATACTAACCAAAATAACGACCAAAGTCGGCCCAATAAACGTCCAAATCAATCCACTCTTAACATCAAGCCAGCAGGTTGCCTTGCTGCCGTAACCATTTGCTTGAGTGACAGCCAAGGAAATGGAAACTATGATGGCTGGGAAGCCTGAAGCAAAATTATAAGAGGGATTATTTCACCTCACCTAGTATAGTGGTCATGTATGGTCACCGAAGTGATCACACGTTACTTCTTGCTTGCTTCTTTAATCCCTCCGATCTCTTGGATAATTATATAAATTTATCTACATCGGTCTTTCCTGGACCCTCTTTTACAAACACTTCTACAAGTTCCATCTCAAGACAAACACAGCTAACAAAGTCACAAGGTCAGGTTGGATCTCCTAAGGAGTAGTCCTGATAGCCAGCTGCAAAGGTTGGTGTGAAGTTAAAAGTCTGGTTTAAATTGAGTGCCTTGTAACTTACAATTTTTTTTTAACTAGCCTGTCAAAATAATCTAAAAAAAAAAATCGCATTTTGTTCAAAATGCTTTTTTTAACCCTGAGACGTACACCCCTAAGGTTTTTCTGAATTTTTCCTAGACGATAAAAACATCAACACTTGAAGCATTCTGTAGCTGTTCGTTTATTCCTCGCTCGCATTTTGAAAAAAAGTTTAGTGGTGGTCGGCAACTATGGTTACGCAATATGACGTCATAAGTAGGAGGTGGTCAAGCCATTTTTGAGTGAAAATGCATCTATTTTCAACCTCTTTCAGGAATAAAAGTAAAGCTTGTGGATAAAATGATGCAAAGTAACTATTTTTGTATTATTTTACATGTTAAGCGCAAAAAATATTAATTCTCACTGTTTTTACCTAATTTCTTAGAATTGAAAATATCCAAGATGGCGGCCAATATGGTAACCATGTTTGGTGACGTCACAGACCTCCAGCAGCGAAATCGTTTCGAAATACTGCAACATATCAAAAACTCAAGGGGGGAGGTTCCATCAACTCCCTCCCCACTATTGTACCTCGGTGGGGGTATGACTTAGCGTGTACGTCCGAGGGTTAAGAAGTTGTCTTCTTAATGCATTCTTTCATGATCAATTAAAATTTATAATGAAAACATAAGGTTATTAAGGACATTAAATGAGAAACACAAAATATGATAGTGTGGGTTGTTCTTGCAGGGACGTAGATTAAACAGCTTTTAGAAACTCACCCCATCCACACATGTAAAAGTACTTCACATAGTCGTCAACGGCAAAGCCATATTTCAGCGGTTTAACGACCTTAAGGTAATGTAATATACCCTCACAAAGCATCCACGAGAATAAAGCCAGTGCGAAGTAATGCAATAACCCGGCCACTACCGGACAAGCAGCCTAGGAGTCATAAAACAAAAAAATCATTATAGCAAGCTTCACCTTTCCTGGAGAATCAATCCAATCACTTACCCTTCAATCTAAAGACGATTAATAAACAACAAAGGATAGAAACTTTGGCTGGGAAGAACAAAATTGAACTGTTTCGTGTTCTTGTTTACTGATTTATTATGGCGTTAGTTTGTAGCTATCAAATGGTTCTTAACCATATTCAAGTAGAGTAAAATAACGCCAATAGGATTAGATGAATATAATTACACAGATACTTACAATCCTTTGTGTTTTGTTTTGTTTGTTTGTTTGTTTTTTCCCGAAATTTAACTGCTGAATTGTCTAACTTAAATGAAACCACAGTGTACGATGCCTACTAGCATATTCCACCTAAACCTATTATTTGGCATGTTATTAACTACGAACAACCTTATTTCTTAAACGATTTAAATGCGCCGCCCACCTTCCTTCTTGCCAATCCTTCAAATATTACCAGCACGCAGGTGATTGCAATTGCAGCACACAAGTTAATGAGCACTTTAACTCCTGCCTCAAGTGGTCGGGAAAAGCAGGTCAACAAAATGATGGTAAGAATTACAGCTACCAAAGAAATGGAACAACCAACAATGGAAATGATTTCCAGGGCTTCCTTGTGGCTTTCTTTTTCCTGTGGCATGTATTAAGATAAAATCTGGTTGTTAGCTACATCTATGTTACTGAAGGCACTTTTTTACAAGCCAAATACCGTTCTTAGAAAGATTTTAGCCAAAAGAAAAGGCCGGGTAGGATAGTGACTAAATCCTCCATACAGACTGTTACTGCTTAGGTTGTCCATTTTGAAAAATTTCCTTTAGTAACGAGATGACGCATACCGTATGACAGCCCTGTTTATGCTGTACTTGAATGTGTAATTTGCAGTTTCGTTTTGCATCAAAATGGCTGGAAATTTACTTCTCCCAACTAATAATAGATTTAATTGGCCGAAGCGTATCTCAGTTTCTGTGGTATGGAAAACCCATTTGCTATTTTTAATTAGTGCTTCGCCCAGGTACTTGTTGTACTTATAGATCTCAGTGAAAAGACTGCAGGACACAATGCAATGGCGAAATTTGAAGGCAGACGCGGATATGTGCAGAATGTGTTTTACAGCGTTTTAGAAACGCCCCATGGAATAGTCCTTCAGATTCCGTTGTTTAATATTACCTTATAGTAAAATGAAGACTTGGCGAGTTCAGTTAATTATATTCAAATTGAATTTTTAACGGCGTTTTATTAAAAGAGGCGCTCGCATAGAAAAACTGAGATAATGCTCAGGAGACGTTCCAATTGTAATGCTTAAACTGAATTAGGGTGGTCACTTAGGATGAGTGGTCGCTTACCAGCTTACGAGAAATGGTCGCACATAAAGGATTGACAAAATTTAATTATGGTAATTGACGCTTCTTGCAACCCAGGATATCTAAAAGACCTCTTTCATATTAGCAGCCCATTTAATTATTCTTTTATACGTTAAAAAGTAAGTGACAATTCCGGTTGTGTTTTGTGTTTTGCTAATGCTAATGCGAATGAGGTCAAAAAAGGCTTACTCGTCATACTCAAAAAAGAATATACTTATTAATGATCCGCCATTATGAAAGAGGTCTATATGGCGACTTCAAAATGGATGCCAGTCATATGATGTCATTGCATCATTCATTGTAGGGTCAGCTTAAAAACACNTTTATTAAAAGAGGCGCTCGCATAGAAAAACTGAGATAATGCTCAGGAGACGTTCCAATTGTAATGCTTAAACTGAATTAGGGTGGTCACTTAGGATGAGTGGTCGCTTACCAGCTTACGAGAAATGGTCGTACATAAAGGATTGACAAAATTTAATTATGGTAATTGACGCTTCTTGCAACCCAGGATATCTTAAAGACCTCTTTCATATTGGCAGCCCATTTAATTATTCTTTTATACGTTAAAAAGTAAGTGACAATTCCGGTTTTTGTGTTTTGCTAATGCTAATGCGAATGAGGTCAAAAAGGCTTACTTGTCATACTCAAAAAAGAATATACTTATTAATGATCCGCCATTATCAAAGAGGTCTATATGGCGACTTCAAAATGGATGCCAGTCATATGATGTCATTGCACCATTCATTGTAGGGTCAGCTTAAAAACACACCAAATTCATTGGTCAAGGTCTCGAATATGGTTTAATCCTTGAATATCTTGATTAGAATATATATCTTTCTTTTGTTATTAACGTACCGGTCTTCCGTATGGATCCACAAGGGCCGCAAAGATTGTAAGATGATTGCATTTACATGTTGTGAAGGACGCGTTCGATTCACTGGGCACAAGTGTACAACCGCTTGTTCCCCAGATGGCTGCTTCGTCGGGCCGCCAAAATACGCACCGTTTTCGTGAAGTAGTGTTCACCTTTCAGCGATTAAATAAAAGCAGAAAATTTGTCAGACTTTTCAATTCCATGGCTTTTTACAAAAGGTTTGCTAAAAGCTTACAACAACAACTAGAAACAACAACAACAAAAAATAAATTAAAGAATTTACGCAAACAGTATAAATATCCACTGGCGTCTCCAGAATGTTTTTCAGAGGTACGCACAATTCTCCAAATCTCCCTGTCCCCCACGCTGGTTACTTATTTTACTAATATCATGGGGCGAAATTTTAGGGTTAATATATAATTTCACATGTGAAATTACAAAATTGCTATGGCAACGTTCCGATTACGTGTCAGTGCCAAGATGGCGGCTAGTAGGCGGCAAAGTTTTAAAATCTTGTTAATGAAGATTTCTGGGCATTAAAAGACATTTAAGAAACACCTATATAAACACACGAAAGGGTACATTAAGAAGAATTCTATTAGGGTTTTTTTCTTTTCGAAAATTCTGAAAATTCTGAACTTAAGCCAAACTTTTAAAGCCCTGTGGAGTTCTCGATCGATATCCAATTTTATAAACTAGCCAAAAACCTACGATTGTGAGCGTTGTCATCCATGATATTAATAGGTAATAAATACAATGGTTCACCCCTGAAATTAGGGAATGTTTTCACTTGCGTTTTGCCCAAATTATAAAATTATTAGAATTTGGACAAAGCGCAAATGAAATTACTCCCTAATTTCACCGGTCACCATTTGATTAAACACACTAAAACCCTGGTATGAAAGACCAAAGGTGCACTGTCTTTGTTTAAAATAGTTACACCAATCAACAACCTCTTTGTGTTCGAGTTGAAAGATAAAAGGTGAACGATTATAGGTATACTCCACTTACGAAAAAATAAAATCTAATTTCGTGTACCTTTCGGTTCTTTAGCACAATCTTGACGGGGTCACGTAAGACAGCTGGAGGCTTGGGACGAACTACTGTAGAGACGATCGTAGTATCGGCTAAAATGCGCTTGTCATCCTCGTCTGCATTTTCCTTTGGGAGTGCTAGAATGTCGTTTAACGTAAGATATATGACAGTTACAGCCCGGGAGTTTGGAGATGAAAAGACGGTTGAAGGTAAATAGATTGTAGTGTTACTGTATGAAATATAACTGTCGTTGCCTCTTGATCTCTGCATGAAAAGAGTAAAATCATTAATATTAAAAACAAGGCTCGTTTTTTTTTTAGCTTATCCAGCTAGTTTATAGGCACTCCGCTCAACTATTTAGAAACAAGTAATTCAAATACAACATAACAGTATTAAAAAACCCAACTGGCAGCAGATTCAACCCGTTGGCTTTTAATTTGCAAAAGTGGTCGAGGTTTTAAACTCGGGACGACCGAGAAGAAATCCAGCAAGTCGCCAGAAGGGGACTCGAACTCGAGACCACCGGATTGCGAGTCCAAAGCGCTGACCACTCGGCAAAGGTGCCTCCTAATATCATTATTATTATTTCCATTCTGGTTCTCATCTTTATATCTATATTTTTATTAAAATATCTACAAATTCCCAACAATAAAAACACTGATTTGTACATTCAACTGACTTTTCGTTGGTTGCCTCAACATAAAAAAATTTGTCAGAACAAAATCTTGATCTCCATACCGAAACCGAACAATTCCGATCTTCAATCATCATCAGAAGGTTTTTGGCTTCCACCGAGTTGGGTTTTCCAGACATCTCACATGAGAGAGGGACTTCCATTCCATAACTATCCAATGTTGAGAGTAGGATTAGACTCTTGTTTTTATGGGCCTAATGGCAGAAAAAAAAAAGACTTAGACGTTAGAAGAATACTGACTTTAATCTTGTTCTAACATTAACGGAGATCTCACGTACAGGTCACTCAAAATATTAGAGTAGACATAATTTTGTTTTCCTTGGTGGTAGGTATGAAGAAAACTTTGATTGTTTAGGTGCTATTAGCTACCTATGACGTCATTTAATATGGCCACCATCATGGATTTAACTAAACACTACACTAGGATTTTAAAGTTATATGATCGTCTTAAAGCATTTTGCTATTCTTGAAACCCTTTTTTTTTTTTTGCGCGTGGGTAAAATGGCGTACTCTTGATTGTGCCAACGAGTTTCACTGGGTTTACAAAAAACGAAAAAAGCAAACAAACAAAACCAAAAGCTTGTATCATTGTACTTTGTAGGGGTAATTGATCTCAAGTTAATTGCAGACTAGCATGTTTGACCACTGGGTATGTCTATTAGCTAGTAATATTTCTTAGTCATGAAGCAAGCAGGGATTCTTTGTGGCATCTTGGGTGAGAAGGAGAAAAGGAGGCTCTGCCTGAATCTAGGCACGTCTTTGAGGTCGCCGAAACCCGAACTTCTAGACAACTAAATCTTGATCTTCTACGTCGTTAAAGTGGTTTTCTGACTGCGAGCATATCATCCGTTTCTAATTCAATCGATCTTCGTAAAAGAGCCCACTACACCAATCCCTCGCCAATTACTGTGTAGTCCTAGGTTCAAAACCGTATCCCAGCAACAAGCAGCGCATGCTCAACAAACATCATACTCGGTTCACACAGAGACTTTCTCGACTACGCCAAAATCCAGCAAGTTATAGGAAGTCCCCAGCTAGCACGATGTATTTCTTTAAATGCCCCAAGTTGTCACTGATGGACTTCGCGTCCGCCGACAACAGCGATTTTGATTAAAGTTTACTGATGTGTCTCTGATAAATCATAACAGCCAAATTACCTTGTCCAGGGCCATCCAAGTGCGGCTATTTACTGGTTCCAACAAATTACTGGCCACGTGTGCAATATTCTGGAAATCTTCCTTAGAACTCACGTTGCGGTGTTTGCTATACTCTGTTATTTGAGCTAGGATTTCCACTGCTGCAATTAAATCCCTTCCGTAAATCTGTGATGGCCTTTCTGGGGAATTTATGATCGGTTTAGTTGCATTTTTCAGTTGAGCTAGAACTTGGGGGACAGTAAGGTTTGAAGATCCACTGGCAATAGCGTTCATCTAAAAGCAAAAAAAAAAAAGAGTACGTATGAAACAGAAAAGTTTACATGTATTAAAACAATCAAAATGGACACAATTTATAAGAGGTGGGTTACTCTTTTCCACAGTAATGTGTGTAATCTAGATCAAACGGAATCAGTGTTCTTTTGAATATTACTTCTCTCTCTAGCTCACGGCAACAATTACAGTCAGCTCTCTCTAAGACGGACACCTTTGGGACAGGCACTAAGTGTCCGTCTTATAGAAAGTCAAATAAAGGGAGTAAAGAAAGGCAGGGGCCAACTCTAAGTGTCCGTTTTATAGAGGTGTCCGTCTTATAGAAGTGTCCGTTAAGAGAGAGTCGACTGTATATAACGTCATGCTAGTTTTAACAACTGAGTGTGCGTACTAGTTACTTTCGCGGTAAGTTTTGTGGTGTAATGTACTAAGATGTAATTGTCATTTAACGTAATGTAACGCAAGTTTTCAATAGAAAAGTGGAACTCAGCTTTTTCGGAAGGAAATTGTAAGCCCGAAGTCGAGAACGTGCAAAAATAAGAAGCAAAGCGGAACCTTTTTTAAGTCACGAGGGATAGGAATTTGATGTGATCGCCAATATGATAAGCGAAGAAACGGCATACCAGGCCAGTAAGTTGAAGTACAACTTCTGCAAACAAATAACTGAAGCCAAAGTTGCATTGTAAGCGTTTGAAGCTTTTCTAAAAGTGCTTTTTTATTCCAAATTGCACGAGAAAAATCGTGATAATAATATACACGAAAAACATAACTACAGCAACAAATTTTGACAGCGCGCGCGTTTTTAGTTCATTCAACTGATTGGCTGAAACAGACTGCTACCTTTATCAAATTCAAACTTTTTCAAGACCAACGCAAGGATTGATTTTATATGGTCACCAGCCTGTTAAAGATATCTCGGTTTACAATAATCAGCAAAAGTAGGTGTTTTTCAATTCATCCGCCATTATGAGGGCTCGGCGTTTCCAAGAAGCGTTTACAAGAAGCGTTTACAAGTTCTGAAATTAAGAGAACGCTTCGTGCAGCCAAAGGTGGAAGACACTTGCTAAGGTTTTATTGACGACTGTTCATCATTGTCTTTTCCTGAGACCCCATCATAGCTGGATTCATGGATAAATTTTTGAGATTTATAACCCGAAAATGAAGGAGGCAATTTGTTTTCTTCCCACGCTGCCATCGATGGGTGAGTGGAGCCACAATTGTTGTGATGTCGGAAACTGCTAGTATTTAAATATAATATTTGCTTTTTCTCAGTGCTAGGGTCTTCATTATCTCACTTAGCCTACTGCAAGAGTCATCGTCGCTCTTCTTCGTCGGCTTCATCGTGGTCGTTAAGGAAATTTATACCTCTGTGGCCTGTGGCATTGGCGATATGTTCTGAACTTACAATCTTTGCTTTTTTCTGCTTTCTGACTGTTGTTTTTCTTGCTCCATGATTCGTAAACTTTTTTCTCACTTTCTTTAAGGCTAGTACCAGCTACGGATACTTTCATTACGTTACTTATGGTATTTTCGCCCTTTGGTTTAGTTTGGACCAGATGTTTAAATTTTTGATTTCGCTTGCTACTGAGGTAGAAAAAAAACAGAGCATCGCATGGATGTTTTAATAGAGGTCTTCGCTCCACAAAAGACTTAAAGAGAGCAACCGGACACCTTGTTGAACACCAACAAATAACGTACGTGACTTGAAATCCCTGTTGTATATCATGGAAAACTTGTATCCTTGTTCATTTAAATTGCTGAAAAGTGTAGCTGTCATGGTTTGCTTGTTGTTGCAACCGTTATTCTTTACTTTTTTTACTTTAGCGTAGTCTGTTATAAGTAGCTTGTTTGTCGTGAAAACAGCTCTAATCTGATTGGTTCTTGGTGTTTTTTTTTTGTGTTTTCAGCCAATCAGAAACCATATTTGCAATTTGCACTCGTGTTACAAGTTTTTTACTCGTGTTACAGAAGAACTGCACTCCTTTCTCAGCCAATCAGAATTGAGTAACATTTTCGTGTATATTATTAATCATAATAACATGGCACTTCAAGATTAGTACCTACCTTGCCGTTAAGGGCACAATGAAAAATAAAGATCATCAGCCCCTGAAGAGAATTGAAGATGGCGAATATGTACTTGAACGCGATGGTATAAGAACTAAAGCTAAGAATTCCAAACACCCAGGTGATTCCGACCAAAGGAAGAATGGCCATGGAGACTCTTACTCCAGCCTTTAATTTTGTGACCTGCGTTTTCTCCTCTACTTTTCCCTTCACCGGTTTCATTATCTTACGCATAACCAGGTATAAAACTACACAATTTATCTGTCAAACAAAATAGAAAGCAGTTTGATTAGTTTGGTCTCTTTAAACATCTTTTTTTTTTCGTAAAAAGAAAATGTATTTAATAAAAGCATCATATAGGTGGTACAATTGGAAATGCAACAATATATGAAATTCTGAATCATTAATTACTAGTATAAAGTCACTTGATTAGTGATTAATAACATTGTTATTGTAGTACTCCATAGACAATATCTTTTATACTAACCAAAATAACGACCAAAGTCGGCCCAATAAACGTCCAAATCAATCCACTCTTAACATCAAGCCAGCAAGTTGCCTTGCTGCCGTAACCATTTGCTTGAGTGACAGCCAAGGAAATGGAAACTATGATGGCTGGGAAGCCTGAAGCAAAATTATAAGAGGGATTATTTCACCTCACCTAGTATAGTGGTCATGTATGGTCACCGAAGTGATCACACGTTACTTCTTGCTTGCTTCTTTAATCCCTCCGATCTCTTGGATAATTATATAAATTTATCTACATCGGTCTTTCCTGGACCCTCTTTTACAAACACTTCTACAAGTTCCATCTCAAGACAAACACAGCTAACAAAGTCACAAGGTCAGGTTGGATCTCCTAAGGAGTAGTCCTGATAGCCAGCTGCAAAGGTTGGTGTGAAGTTAAAAGTCTGGTTTAAATTGAGTGCCTTGTAACTTACAATTTTTTTTTAACTAGCCTGTCAAAATAATCTAAAAAAAAAAATCGCATTTTGTTCAAAATGCTTTTTTTAACCCTGAGACGTACACCCCTAAGGTTTTTCTGAATTTTTCCTAGACGATAAAAACATCAACACTTGAAGCATTCTGTAGCTGTTCGTTTATTCCTCGCTCGCATTTTGAAAAAAGTTTAGTGGTGGTCGGCAGCTATGGTTACGCAATATGACGTCATAAGTAGGAGGTGGTCAAGCCATTTTTGAGTGAAAATGCATCTATTTTCAACCTCTTTTAGGAATAAAAGTAAAGCTTGTGGATAAAATGACGCAAAGTAACTATTTTTGTATTATTTTACATGTTAAGCGCAAAAAATATTAATTCTCACTGTTTTTACCTAATTTCTTAGAATTGAAAATATCCAAGATGGCGGCCAATATGGTAACCATGTTTGGTGACGTCACAGACCTCCAGCAGCGAAATCGTTTCGAAATACTGCAACATATCAAAAACTCAAGGGGGGAGGTTCCATCAACTCCCTCCCCACTATTGTACCTCGGTGGGGGTATGACTTAGCGTGTACGTCCGAGGGTTAAGAAGTTGTCTTCTTAATGCATTCTTTCATGATCAATTAAAATTTATAATGAAAACATAAGGTTATTAAGGACATTAAATGAGAAACACAAAATATGATAGTGTGGGTTGTTCTTGCAGGGACGTAGATTAAACAGCTTTTAGAAACTCACCCCATCCACACATGTAAAAGTACTTCACATAGTCGTCAACGGCAAAGCCATATTTCAGCGGTTTAACGACCTTAAGGTAATGTAATATACCCTCACAAAGCATCCACGAGAATAAAGCCAGTGCGAAGTAATGCAATAACCCGGCCACTACCGGACAAGCAGCCTAGGAGTCATAAAACAAAAAAATCATTATAGCAAGCTTCACCTTTCCTGGAGAATCAATCCAATCACTTACCCTTCAATCTAAAGACGATTAATAAACAACAAAGGATAGAAACTTTGGCTGGGAAGAACAAAATTGAACTGTTTCGTGTTCTTGTTTACTGATTTATTATGGCGTTAGTTTGTAGCTATCAAATGGTTCTTAACCATATTCAAGTAGAGTAAAATAACGCCAATAGGATTAGATGAATATAATTACACAGATACTTACAATCCTTTGTGTTTTGTTTTGTTTGTTTGTTTGTTTTTTCCCGAAATTTAACTGCTGAATTGTCTAACTTAAATGAAACCACAGTGTACGATGCCTACTAGCATATTCCACCTAAACCTATTATTTGGCATGTTATTAACTACGAACAACCTTATTTCTTAAACGATTTAAATGCGCCGCCCACCTTCCTTCTTGCCAATCCTTCAAATATTACCAGCACGCAGGTGATTGCAATTGCAGCACACAAGTTAATGAGCACTTTAACTCCTGCCTCAAGTGGGCGGGAAAAGCAGGTCAACAAAATGATGGTAAGAATTACAGCTACCAAAGAAATGGAACAACCAACAATGGAAATGATTTCCAGGGCTTCCTTGTGGCTTCCTTTTTCCTGTGGCATGTATTAAGATAAAATCTGGTTGTTAGCTACATCTATGTTACTGAAGGCACTTTTTTACAAGCCAAATACCGTTCTTAGAAAGATTTTAGCCAAAAGAAAAGGCCGGGTAGGATAGTGACTAAATCCTCCATACAGACTGTTACTGCTTAGGTTGTCCATTTTGAAAAATTTCCTTTAGTAACGAGATGACGCATACCGTATGACAGCCCTGTTTATGCTGTACTTGAATGTGTAATTTGCAGTTTCGTTTTGCATCAAAATGGCAGGAAATTTACTTCTCCCAACTAATAATAGATTTAATTGGCCGAAGCGTATCTCAGTTTCTGTGGTATGGAAAACCCATTTGCTATTTTTAATTAGTGCTTCGCCCAGGTACTTGTTGTACTTATAGATCTCAGTGAAAAGACTGCAGGACACAATGCAATGGCGAAATTTGAAGGCAGACGCGAATATGTGCAGAATGTGTTTTACAGCGTTTTAGAAACGCCCCATGGAATAGTCCTTCAGATTCCGTTGTTTAATATTACCTTATAGTAAAATGAAGACTTGGCGAGTTCAGTTAATTATATTCAAATTGAATTTTTAACGGCGTTTTATTAAAAGAGGCGCTCGCATAGAAAAACTGAGATAATGCTCAGGAGACGTTCCAATTGTAATGCTTAAACTGAATTAGGGTGGTCACTTAGGATGAGTGGTCGCTTACCAGCTTACGAGAAATGGTCGCACATAAAGGATTGACAAAATTTAATTATGGTAATTGACGCTTCTTGCAACCCAGGATATCTAAAAGACCTCTTTCATATTAGCAGCCCATTTAATTATTCTTTTATACGTTAAAAAGTAAGTGACAATTCCGGTTGTGTTTTGTGTTTTGCTAATGCTAATGCGAATGAGGTCAAAAAAGGCTTACTCGTCATACTCAAAAAAGAATATACTTATTAATGATCCGCCATTATGAAAGAGGTCTATATGGCGACTTCAAAATGGATGCCAGTCATATGATGTCATTGCATCATTCATTGTAGGGTCAGCTTAAAAACACACCAAATTCATTTGTCAAGGTCTCGAATATGGTTTAATCCTTGAATATCTTGATTAGAATATATATCTTTCTTTTGTTATTAACGTACCGGTCTTCCGTATGGATCCACAAGCGCCGCAAAGATTGTAAGATGACTGCATTTACATGTTGTGAAGGACGCGTTCGATTCACTGGGCACAAGTGTACAACCGCTTGTTCCCCAGATGGCTGCTTCGTCGGGCCGCCAAAATACGCACCGTTTTTGTGAAGTAGTGTTCACCTTTCAGCGATTAAATAAAAGCAGAAAATTTGTCGACTTTTCAATTCCATGGCTTTTTACAAAAAGGTTTGCTAAAAGCTTACAACAACAACTAGAAACAACAACAACAACAAATAAATTAAAGAATTTACGCAAACAGTATAAATATCCACTGGCGTCGCCAGAATGTTTTTCAGAGGTACGCACAATTCTCCAAATCTCCCTGTCTCCCACGCTGGGTTAATATATAATTTCACATGTGAAATTACAAAATTGCCATGGCAACGTTCCGATTACGTGTCAGTGCCAAGATGGCGGCTAGCAGACGGCAAAGTTTTAAAATCTTGTTAATGAAGATTTCTGGGCATTAAACGACATTTAAGAAACACCTATATAAACACACGAAAGGGTACATCAAGAAGAATTCTATTAGGGTTTTTTTCTTTTCGAAAATTCTGAAAATTCTGAACTTAAGCCAAACTTTTAAAGCGCTGTGGAGTTCTGGATCGATATCCAATTTTATAAACTAGCCAAAAACCTACGATTGTGAGCGTTGTCATCCATGATATTAATAGGTAATAAATACAATGGTTCACCCCTGAAATTAGGGAATGTTTTCACTTGCCTTTTGCCCAAATTATAAAATTATTAGAATTTGGACAAAACGCAAATGAAATTACTCCCTAATTTCACCAGTCACCATTTGATTAAACACACTAAAACCCTGGTATGAAAGGCGAAAGGTGCACTGTCTTTGTTTAAAATAGTTACACCAATCAACAACCTCTTTGTGTTCGAGTTGAAAGATAAAAGGTGAACGATTATAGGTATACTCCACTTATGAAAAAATAAAATCTAATTTCGTGTACCTTTCGGTTCTTTAGCACAATCTTGACGGGGTCACGTAAGACAGCTGGAGGCTTGGGACGAACTACTGTAGAGACGATCGTAGTATCGGCTAAAATGCGCTTGTCATCCTCGTCTGCATTTTCCTTTGGGAGTGCTAGAATGTCGTTTAACGTAAGATATATGACAGTTACAGCCCGGGAGTTTGGAGATGAAAAGACGGTTGAAGGTAAATAGATTGTAGTGTTACTGTATGAAATATAACTGTCGTTGCCTCTTGATCTCTGCATGAAAAGAGTAAAATCATTAATATTAAAAACAAGGCTCGTTTTTTTTTTAGCTTATCCAGCTAGTTTATAGGCACTCCGCTCAACTATTTAGAAACAAGTAATTCAAATACAACATAACAGTATTAAAAAACCCAACTGGCAGCAGATTCAACCCGTTGGCTTTTAATTTGCAAAAGTGGTCGAGGTTTTAAACTCGGGACGACCGAGAAGAAATCCAGCAAGTCGCCAGAAGGGGACTCGAACTCGAGACCACCGGATTGCGAGTCCAAAGCGCTGACCACTCGGCAAAGGTGCCTCCTAATATCATTATTATTATTTCCATTCTGGTTCTCATCTTTATATCTATATTTTTATTAAAATATCTACAAATTCCCAACAATAAAAACACTGATTTGTACATTCAACTGACTTTTCGTTGGTTGCCTCAACATAAAAAAATTTGTCAGAACAAAATCTTGATCTCCATACCGAAACCGAACAATTCCGATCTTCAATCATCATCAGAAGGTTTTTGGCTTCCACCGAGTTGGGTTTTCCAGACATCTCACATGAGAGAGGGACTTCCATTCCATAACTATCCAATGTTGAGAGTAGGATTAGACTCTTGTTTTTATGGGCCTAATGGCAGAAAGAAAAAAAAAAGACTTAGACGTTAGAAGAATACTGACTTTAATCTTGTTCTAACATTAACGGAGATCTCACGTACGGGTCACTCAAAATATTAGAGTAGATATAATTTTGTTTTCCTTGGTGGTAGGTATGAAGAAAACTTTGATTGTTTAGGTGCTATTAGCTACCTATGACGTCATTCAATATGGCCACCATCATGGATTTAACTAAACACTACACTAGGATTTTAAAGTTATATGATCGTCTTAAAGCATTTTGCTATTCTTGAAACTCTTTTTTTTTTTTGCGCATGGGTAAAATGGCCTAATCTTGATTGTGCCAACGAGTTTCACTGGGTTTACAAAAAACGAAAAAAGCAAACAAACAAAACCAAAAGCTTGTATCATTGTACTTTGTAGGGGTAATTGATCTCAAGTTAATTGCAGACTAGCATGTTTGACCACTGGGTATGTCTATTAGCTAGTAATATTTCTTAGTCATGAAGCAAGCAGGGATTCTTTGTGGCATCTTGGGTGAGAAGGAGAAAAGGAGGCTCTGCCTGAATCTAGGCACGTCTTTGAGGTCGCCGAAACCCGAACTTCTAGACAACTAAATCTTGATCTTCTACGTCGTTAAAGTGGTTTTCTGACTGCGAGCATATCATCCGTTTCTAATTCAATCGATCTTCGTAAAAGAGCCCACTACACCAATCCCTCGCCAATTACTGTGTAGTCCTAGGTTCAAAACCGTATCCCAGCAACAAGCAGCGCATGCTCAACAAACATCATACTCGGTTCACACAGAGACTTTCTCGACTACGCCAAAATCCAGCAAGTTATAGGAAGTCCCCAGCTAGCACGATGTATTTCTTTAAATGCCCCAAGTTGTCACTGATGGACTTCGCGTCCGCCGACAACAGCGATTTTGATTAAAGTTTACTGATGTGTCTCTGATAAATCATAACAGCCAAATTACCTTGTCCAGGGCCATCCAAGTGCGGCTATTTACTGGTTCCAACAAATTACTGGCCACGTGTGCAATATTCTGGAAATCTTCCTTAGAACTCACGTTGCGGTGTTTGCTATACTCTGTTATTTGAGCTAGGATTTCCACTGCTGCAATTAAATCCCTTCCGTAAATCTGTGATGGCCTTTCTGGGGAATTTATGATCGGTTTAGTTGCATTTTTCAGTTGAGCTAGAACTTGGGGGACAGTAAGGTTTGAAGATCCACTGGCAATAGCGTTCATCTAAAAGCAAAAAAAAAAAAGAGTACGTATGAAACAGAAAAGTTTACATGTATTAAAACAATCAAAATGGACACAATTTATAAGAGGTGGGTTACTCTTTTCCACAGTAATGTGTGTAATCTAGATCAAACGGAATCAGTGTTCTTTTGAATATTAGTTCTCTCTCTAGCTCACGGCAACAATTACAGTCAGCTCTCTCTAAGACGGACACCTTTGGGACAGGCACTAAGTGTCCGTCTTATAGAAAGTCAAATAAAGGGAGTAAAGAAAGGCAGGGGCCAACTCTAAGTGTCCGTTTTATAGAGGTGTCCGTCTTATAGAAGTGTCCGTTAAGAGAGAGTCGACTGTATATAACGTCATGCTAGTTTTAACAACTGAGTGTGCGTACTAGTTACTTTCGCGGTAAGTTTTGTGGTGTAATGTACTAAGATGTAATTGTCATTTAACGTAATGTAACGCAAGTTTTCAATAGAAAAGTGGAACTCAGCTTTTTCGGAAGGAAATTGTAAGCCCGAAGTCGAGAACGTGCAAAAATAAGAAGCAAAGCGGAACCTTTTTTAAGTCACGAGGGATAGGAATTTGATGTGATCGCCAATATGATAAGCGAAGAAACGGCATACCAGGCCAGTAAGTTGAAGTACAACTTCTGCAAACAAATAACTGAAGCCAAAGTTGCATTGTAAGCGTTTGAAGCTTTTCTATGTTTACCAATGCCTTCCTGTCATATTTTATAGTTAACATTTCAAAAAAAAAAAAAAACGTTGTCCACTCAGCATCAACAACTGTTTTTGTACAGATCACAAAAACAGAAAAAAGGAAATAACACGAATGTCTCCGAGCTGGACGTTTTTCAAATATCTCACCCAAAGTATGTTGTAAATGCACTCTGAAATTAGGCTTGATTTACATACCTTGCTAATGAGTTTACTATATTCAGCAGACCTACAATTTAAAAAGTTGGCATTTTCCCATGTTCCATCGTAAGAGCATTTTCGCTTCGCAGTACCTAAGGGAGGAAAGTTGACAAGAGTTTCAAGGATTGCTCTCTAGTACGAGGGCGTCACTTGACACCAACACTGAGGCGTGAGAACACGCGTGTTGAAATGAAATGGTGTATAGGATTTGCGTCATTTCGCTCTGCAGTATCAAGACACATGTAAAGGTCTTTTCAATCAAGTTTCTTTTTCCTTTCGCTACCATCCTCGGATATCATAAACAATGCAGGGGCGGGTCCAGACCTTAGATAAACTTGGGGGGTGGGAGGGAGGTTAATATCCTTAAAATAAATTTGAATACTCATAGCCTGCAATTGTACGGTTTGTATTACTGAGGTTTACAGTTAAGTCATCTAAAATTCATCTCGCATGAAATTTATTGTTTAAATTTATTGCTACTGGTTTCTTTTTATCATTTCTACCGTGTGGTAAGGCGAAAAAGCCGTACAAGGAATTGTTTTACTTAAAGCTGCTTTAGGAAATACACCTATTTCAAAAAAGGTTGTCGGAGAGAACGGCAAATGGCAATTGTCGAACGGAGATGATACCACTGAATATTGATGGCAAATAATCAACTATCTAAGCTAGTCAACGATGCCGGCTCCATTTAGTGAAGACCCTCGAAGGCGGGGTTATCTGGTTTGTCCATGTTCTTCAGCATTCAGTTGCAGAGGCTTCTTTTTCTTGGGCGTCTCTAAAAGAAAAGCCCTGAGCGCTATATTTCTAAATTTCTCGTGACTGGCGTTGTTAAGTCGGAGACAATAGGCCGTTCATACGAGGAAACGAGGAAGCTTATTTTGAGCTTGTTTTGTCTTCGGAGTCAAGAACCCTCAGACAATTACGTTCAAAGTTGGTGTATTCATTTTTACGTAAGGTAAACGCAACTTATCAAATTTTGCATATCAAACAGCGTAACCACAGTTCCTTTCGGTCGTACAACCTCCCTTACCCTTTTTTGAAATAGCTGTATTTTCATCCAATTATTTCCAAATTAGACAGCGTCTAGACCTATTACATGAAATAATCAACTTACCTTCAGCTCCATTCGGACAAGGTTTTTTATCGGTGCTTCCTCTGTCTGTAGTTTCCCATGAGACCCCGTGTGCCAGTTGTGGTGAGCACTTGTGGGCTGCCGGAGTAAACAATGTACTGATTAAAAAAGTATATTTGTCTACGACGATGAGTTTTGTATTCTACACTTATTTTATTATTTTATTTATTATGATTATGATTGTGATTATTTAACTAATTATTATCATCATCATTATTATTATTATTATTATTATTATTATTATTATCATTATTATTAAACTTTTTGATGCTTTTTATAATCAATTGTTATTAGTAGTTTTTAGATAGTCATTTTACGACAATTCTCTTTCGTACACAAGAAGAATGTACATAGGGTATATATTTTAATATTCATATTCTTGAATCTGTAAATAGTCTATTTTTTTGAATCTATGAATAAAGTTATTTTATTAAAAAAATATATATATAATTATTATTATTATTATTATTACTATTATTATTATTTTCCATAAAACTGTATACCAATTCCAATAATTTTAAATCTTTAAAAGCACTTTATACCTTGAGTATAGCATCCTCCTTTCTTTAACATGTGTGATCTGACAACAATCGGAACAACTTTTTTGTTCCTTTGTTTGTGTGCGTATTTTTTTTTTTCTTACCAAAAAGTGCCACCTTTGACAGTTTTAAAGCTATATTTTATGACATGAGAGTCTATTTCCTTCGCGGGATCTGAAATCCAGGCACCCTGCGAACAGTGGGAGACTCAGTCTCGTTTTGCCTTCTTGACATGATGATCCTTTGAAGCCTTTGAAGTCGCCGAAGCCCAAATTTCTGGACCAGTCAAACTAGCTAGTTTCACGAGGGCGACAATCCGTTTATTGACAAACCGATGGTTATAACCGAGCCCGCTGTACCACGCGCACGGCTTTTAGGCCCGGGTTCCAAACATCATCATATTTAACAAGCAGCAATTGATCACCAAAGGTTTTACTCGATCATCCATGCAGAGTCTTTCTCAAGAAAGCCAAAATAGTAAAAGTACTAAGCTCTCTTAGCAGGGTGAAATTCAGGGAATCACGTATTTTGAGCAAGAGGTGACAATACAAAACCTAAATCTGCTTAAGAAAACCGGATTTAACAGTAACGAGTTACTCTAAATTTGAAGAATTTACAAAACTAATTCAACTGAGGAGACTCTTGCAACATTAACGTGAGATATATTTCGCGCCTGACCTTTCATCTGAACAGACGACGACGGGAATGTAGACTGATGAGCAGAAGAAGAGACCGTAACCTCATAATTGTGAAGTGCTGGCGGGAGTAACGTAGGCACTTGTGGGGACTGGGCAGCTGTCAACGGCGTAAATGAATATGGTGAAACTTGTCTTGGTGTTACTACCACTAGAAAAGGGAGAAAAACGAAAAAAGTGTTTTAAATCAGTGCTTAAATTAAAAATTGGTCACACGTCGTAAGACATTTTTATGCTTTGCGTCTGGTGCACAATTATAGCATTCTTCTTTCTTAAACGTGTGCAATCGGACAAAAAACTAAGACAACATTCTTATTCCTTCCAACCTCGATTTTTCGTTTTGTTTTGTTTGTTTGTTTTTTTTGGCTTGTTTGTTTATTTGTACAGATAGTGCCAACTTTAAAGCTATATTTCTACACATTTTTAGAAGCACTAATTTTTATCTGGGGCAGCTCAAATCAAGGGGACCAGGGTAATTGGGCGAAAGATTATATGGTAATCACATGACCGTACACCGACCGAATGTCCGTCCGCACCACAGGTATACCAATGAAAGATTTGGGGTATTCTGTGAGTGCAGTGAGGCTTTTTGGATCCGAAGAACGAGGTTCCACCGATCTGCCACATAAAACCGAATTTGAACTGAAACGTGGTAAATCTGCACTTGAAGAAATTACACTGAAATATTGACTGAAGAGAAGTTTGCAACGTTGAAAAAAGACATTTTCTCGCCTTACCTTCCATCTGAACAGATGACGACGGGAATGCTGACGGTTGAAAAGAAGAAGAAACCGTACCCTCGTGAAATAGTGAAGAAGTATCAGGAAAATAGATGTCATTTGACGACGTTAAAATACGGACTGGTGTGTCCTGGGTAGCTAACGACTTAGATGAACACGGCGAAACTTTGCTTGGTTTGATTGCCACTGCAAATGGAAGAAGGTAGGTATAATTTTAAACATATATTTTATGACAGGTAAGCAGTCTATCTCCTACCAAGGGGGAACCCAAATCCAAGCACTATACGAACAGAGCCTTTGATTTCTTGAGTGAGAAGGAGAAAAGAAGGCTTTGTTTTAATCGTATCAATCTATTGAAGTCGCCGAAGCCCAATTTCTGTACTGGGAAATCTTCTTTTTCATATCGTCAAACTGGTTTTTTCGAGTGCGAGCACCCGTTTGTTGATAAATAGATGTTCACAATTGAACCCGCTGTACCACGCGCACGGCCTTTAGGCCCGGGTTCAAAACATTATCACATTTAACAAGCAGCAATTGATCACCAAAGGTTTTACTCGATCATCCATGCAGAGTCTTTCTCAAGAAAGCCAAAATAGTAAAAGTACTAAGCTCTCTTAGCAGGGTGAAATTCAGGGAATCGCATATTTTGAGCAAGAGCAAGGTGACAATACAAAACCCAAAGCTGTTTAAGAAAACCAAATTTTAACAGTAACGAGTTACTCTAAATTTGAAGAATTTACAAAACTAATTCGACTGAGGAGACTCTTGCAACATTAACGTGAGATATATTTCGCGCCTGACCTTTTATCTGAACAGACGACGACGGGAATGTAGACTGATGAGCAGAAGAAGAGACCGTAACCTCATAATTGTGAAGTGCTGGCGGGAGTAACGTAGGCACTTGTGGGGACTGGGCAGCTGTCAACGGCGTAAATGAATATGGTGAAACTTGTCTTGGTGTTACTACCACTAGAAAAGGGAGAAAAACGAAAAAAGTGTTTTAAATCAGTGCTTAAATTAAAAATTGGTCACACGTCGTAAGACATTTTTATGCTTTGCGTCTGGTACACAATTATAGCATTCTTCTTTCTTAAACGTGTGCAATCGGACAAAAAACTAAGACAACATTTTTATTCCTTCCAACCTCCATCTTTTGTTTTGTTTTGTTTGTTTGTTTTTTGGCTTGTTTCTTTATTTGTACAAATAGTGCCAACTTTAAAGCTGCATTTCTATTTGCAACTTTAAAAAAAGACAGTCTCGCCTTACCTTCCATCTGAACAGATGACGATGGGAATGCTGACGGTTGAACAGAAGAAGAAACTGTACCCTCGTGAAATAGTGAAAAAGTAGCAGGAAAATAGATGTCGACATTTGACGACGTTAAAATACGGACTGGTGTGTCCTGGGTAGCTAACGACTTAGATGAACGAGGCGAAACTTGGCTTGGTTTGATTGCCACTACAAATGGAAAAACGAAAATTGAGGAGCTTAACATTAAACAGGGGGGAATTTCTTTTTTTCTTTTTTTTTTTTTTTTACCTAGCAAAGTCCTGTTTCGTGCTAAATCTGATAAATTTGACTATTTTATATGGTTAAAGGCTAATTTGAAACAAATCGGTGAATTTTGTTAAATTAAAAATTTGTCACACTGGGTAGGTATACTTTTAAACATATATTTTATGACAGGTAAGCAGTCTATCTCCTACCACGGGGATCGCAAATCCAAGCACTCTACGAACAGAGCCTTTGATTTCTTGAGTGAGAAGGAGAAAAGAAGGCTTTGTTTGAATCGCATCAATCTATTGAAGTCGCCGAAGCCCAAATTTCTGTACTAGAAAATCTTCTTTTTCATATCGTCAAACTGGTTTTTCGAGTGGGAGCACCCAATTATTGATAAATCGATGTTCATAACTGAATCCGCTTTACTAAGCGCATGGCTTTTCGGCCTGGGTTCAAAACTTTATCCCAGCAACAAGCAGCACATGTTCCCCCCCGCCCATCGAAGGTTTTACTTGATTCACAAAGAGCTTCTTCTTTTTTTTTTTTTAATTGACAGGATGAAATCTGGAGAACCACAGATTTTGGGATGCCCGAGAAAACCGGATTTGAACTTAACAGTAACGTGGATCTCTGAATTGAAGAATTAAAAGAAATAAATGTACACTTACTGAGGAGAAGCTTGCATCATTAACGAAATACACTTTTTGCGCCTTACCTTTAATCTGGACAGAAGACGATGACAGGAAAGACTGATGAGCAGACGAAGAGACCATAACTTTAGGATGAAATTGTGAAGAAGTAGCAGGTAAATGGTTGATATTTGGCGGCGTTACGGTACGCATTTGTGGGGACTTGGCAGTCAACGACGTAGATGAGTATGGGGAGACTTGGCTTTGCTTGATTACTACTAGAAAAGGAAATAAAATTAAATTTAGGTGTTTGTATGAATGATAATCATCATCATCATCATCATCATCATCATCATCATCATCATCGTCATCATAAACACTTATTAATCGCACTTGGCACATGTCTACAGTTTGCTGTTCATCAACAACAATAATGTTGAAATAGTGGAAATTACGTCTAGAGCTCTTATTAATCGTCCTTTACTGAAGCATTTATATTTTGTGATTAACGTCAATGATGTTCCATCATCCTTAGTTTTGACATCATCCACCTTGTTTGCCCTCGTTTTTATCTTTCTTGGCATTTATCATTATACACAAATGCTTGGTCAACGTTTCACTAATTTTAAGGTCTAAGCATCCACCCAGTTAGCAACTTTCAATTATGTAACCTTTCAGTTCATGGATTTTGTCGTGTCTTTTCCCGTCGCTTATAATTATTGCAATATGATTTGTTTGTCTTGGTAGCAATAGACTGTCACACAATTTGAAGCTTCGCGTCGAAGTTTCCGGCAATTAGCTTTTTTCTTTTTTTTTCTAGCTTGTAATTTGATGCGGTAGCAAAAACATTGTGAATTCTAAACCATCAAGGATGTATTTGCTTTTGAGGAGCCAGAGAGTATTGAATTACGCAAGAACTGACAAAAAAAGGGTGAGCGGTGTAATCTCCAGTGTACCTTTATTTTCCATCAGTGTGAACCACAGATTCCTCAAAACGTTCTATAGAATATATTTTCACCAGTTGTACGCAATTACTACGGCCTCCAGATCAGCGACAAAATTATAACTCCTACCCTTATTACAGATTTTTCTTTGAAATCCTTTTGTACAAAGGAAATTAAATCCTTCGATAGTGTTTGCACAGGTTGCTCCATTTTTGCACGGGTTACTAGCACACTCGTTGACATCTAAAAGGAAAATGAGGCACAGCTTCTCAATACGCGCCTTCTGAAGGTACCGACTAAGTATATTAGATATTATATTAGCGGTTTGATGAGTTAGAGAGCGAAGTCGGTGCAATTCATAGTACAGTGTACATCAGGCTCTGTCTTCCTTACCGTTTTCGCAAATGTAATTTATTCTATCAGAACATTCCTGGTCATTCCATCCACCGTTGTGAGACCCAAACGGACGTATTTCAACACACTCCTCAGTAATACTGTTGGGTTCACCGTCACCCCAGCGAGTGTAGTTGAGTGGAGATCCATCCACCCACAACCAGCGCTTTTTGTCACGGGGGTTCCTCTGCAAGCCTATCCAGGTAAGCTTCCTTTTTCTTCTTATGTGAGGTTTAAGAGCTTGATGTTCGGCTTCTGAGCTAATTATAGCCAGTGTAGAATTCAGGTCTTCACAGGCCTTCTTTGCTGCTTGCCAATTCAGGACGTTCTTGGAAAGCTTGTAGCAGGAACTTCGTTTTTTAAACCAACCACTTGGACATAATGCTTTCAACAAAGCAACGAACACAGCATTAAGATATCATATTTGAAGAGAGACATTTTCAGCAAAAGTATCCCCACACATTTTGACAGAAACTTTGAGAACGGTGTAGTTAGCGGCTGTGTGCGTGAACGAAATTTTCTAACGGGCTGATTTTCCCGGGGGGTGGGGACTCCCGTATAAAAGTAACGGGGATGCTCATCGAAAAATTAGAATTAAACCTCTAAGGGAGACCAATGTGGGTGTGGCTCTAGCCCAGCCCAGCTTGTTGCACAAATTTTCTCCTTGCACTGAATATTTCGCCAAAAAAAAAAAAAAAAAAAAAAAAA